TGCTTGCAATAGGTAATGTACCGATTGAATTTATTGCAAAGGAAAGTAGTACCTTTTTAGGATTCTCACCATCATCACAGAAGCAGAAACATGCTTCCTTTTGAAAGCTCTTGATTACCAAGCTGTAACTTATTTACTTTATAGTAAATACAGTAAAGAAACCATCTGTGTTTTCACTCTGCAGATGGAAGAGCAAGAATTCTGACTGAATTTTCTTGATGAGAAATTCAAGAAGCATCCAAGGCTGGGGTGACTACATCTAAGCCAGACAAGTGAATTAGGACAGGAGTTACACCCTGATAATGACTTCCCCTCACTTGAATTTGAACTCTGCAAACTTATCTAGGAAGAATATCAAACCTCAATATTAAACTGTGTCATCTAAGCAGCAGTGAAGCAGGGTAGGATAAATAACAGTCCAAAAAGGGTTCTGGCAGACACATAAGCCAGGTACCTTTGCAAGTTTTCCAGGTACTAAAAAAACCTTACATAATACAAGTAGATACCGCACCTTTAAGTGTGCAATTTGAACATCAACTTTTAATTAGGCAAGACTGGGACTCTGGTTGAAACATGCCTTCTGCTTGACACACCTGCAGGAAAGAGTCCAACACAGCTCTACTACCTTATTTTACCTTCTGTATGGCTTAACGTTACTGATTTTCTCTAGGGTGAACAACTGCAGCAGTAACACTAACCGTTTTAAAGCCTAGCGGCACACAGCAGCAACTGCTTGCAATGACGGCAGTATTTTACACCTACAGCTTTTTCAGCGCTTCAGAAATCCATTCTAGCCTCAATCCTGTAAGAAAAGTGTTTGGGGAAGAACATTCCTATTTCACAGAAAATAAAAATATACAACCTTGATGCACAAATCCATCAAGCTTCCCAAGCAGGAGTAACAGGATCAGAATTCAGGCCTTACAAGTACTAAGACCACTGTCTGTAGCTGAATGTTAAGACAAAATAAAGTTTAAGGTCAGGCTTAATTTCTTTTTTAGGTCCTAGTAGGAGCTGGCAACCCTCCCTCCCCAACAGGACTATGTACAAATCTGCCAGATTTCAGACTCATTAAGTGCAGGTATTTATTCTGGAATACCTGGGCCTCAGAGGATCTAAGTATGCATGTGTTTATGTGTGCATGCATACATATATTTTGATCTTAGACAGTTCTTTTATACGCTACTTATGGCAATGCCTACTCCCTAAAGCAGCATTAACTCCACAGTACAGGAATGCACGAGTTACCACCTCTCCTTTAAGTCCCAGGGCTTACTGCTACTGCAATGGATTGAGCAGTTGGAGCACATGAGTAAGCCACAGCCCGTAAAGGTCACAAAACACCCCCAGAAGCAGCTTCCCAAAAGAGGGGATTTCCTGAAAACATGAATGCAAACTACATCGGCCTGCAGCAACAGCAACGCTCTAGAGCCACATACCCAACAGTAAAGTAACTGCCAGAAAGCACACCGAGAAGACTGCTTAGCTTCCTAGGCTGTCGTGTATCAAAGCCAACGGCAGACAAATATCAAGGTGGCCATTTTGAAACTCAAGAGATATAACTATAAAAGCAATCACTTACAAGCATAATACAGTTAATAAAGCAGTGGCATACCAGTTTCCCTCCTCCACATCTTCCACTCAGTCCTTTATGAAAATCTTTTCAGACCATTACCATGACACACCAAGCAAGTGCCATCAACATGACTCAACTCTGTATTTAACGACAAAAGTTGTTCAGTCATTGGCTTTGATCAATTTGCATGGCATCAAGAACTTGCAACAGCTTCAAATTCGTCATCTGTTCCTCCCTCACGTTCCAGACACCCCTCCATATCATACAGCTACAAGCCAGTGCCTTGCCTAGTGGTAAATTTCTGTCTGACCTGGACATCTCCGTATTAGCAGGCTACGCTCTGCTAACTACAGACACTCTTGAGGAGCAAACTCCGACTGACAGATTGTTATCAGAATGCAGTACTGCGGAACTGAAGAGTTTTGACCCGTTTTAAACAAGCTTCAAAAAAGCAGCATTACAAAGCAACCGAGAAAGACTTCTGATCCTTTTCCAAAGGGGTGAACCTATGTATTTTATGCAATAATGAAGAGAAACACACTGAAAAACCCATCGAAAAACCCACCACACAACCACCAAGGAAAGCCTTAATGCCAGTAATTGTTAGAAGTGAGTACGAAAATGGTCCATTCACAATCCTGTACAACAGCAGCTCCAGAGACAGCTTCTGTGTTAGGCTACTTTTCCTTGATATTAGATACAGAACTAGATCTCACTCTGCAGATCAATGACAGCAGCTATATTTAAATGCCTGTATTCAACAGACAGTTGTTGCATTCTAAAATTTCCCTTTAGACAAACTGTAAACTCTCTGGTTTACCCCAGATGACTACAAAAAAGAAACTGGGTTTCCCCACTCTGCCCCACCAACTCCAGTGTGGCTCACCGCGTCCAGCCCCTGCCACATGGCTGCTGCAGCAGTCAATCTGCTGCAGTCATGCCACAAAGGAGCCACACCAATGACAAAAATCAATCGGAGACTGAGAAACTGCAGGATCTACCCCCATGAAAAAACTCTGTATTTCTCCATTACATTCCCGTTGTCTTCACTCCATGTTCTGTGAGCACATACAATGGAAATTTAAATTCAAGATCAAGTTGAAAAAATATAGTGTTCTGAAGATTTTAAATTAGTCACAAGTGGACTTTTGGGTTTTTTCTAAATGCAGGTGAACCCGTTAAAGTCATTTTTACAGTTGAGCAGTTCTGAACTGCAAACTTCAGAAGTGTGGCTGAAGGTAACTAATGGCCTGTTACATTGCAGGAACCATGCCATTGAGCCTTACTCCTCCACTGCCCGCTTCCTTCTACTTAACTTAAAGCATAGGCCCAAAGATGCCAACAGAAGTGACAAAGTCAAACACAGGCTTGAGCGCATTTCTCATATGCATGTTGACGTGCTGCAATAAAGCAAATGTCTTGAACACACACCAATACAACAGAATGAATGGCCTACACATTAGCTTCAAAGATCTTCCAGGGTTAGATGACTGCACTTTTGCTCTTTTAATACAGTATTAAAATAAATCATATCAGAATATCAGATTTTAAGCAATCACTTTGATTGCTTGTAGAAGATGCCTTTTTTTGTTCAGATGGAGTATACACGTCTCGGCTGCAGCCCTTCAGTCTCCTCCTGATTCAGAAATGCACGTAAACCACAGGAAGCTGACTGTTAAATAACTTTATTCATAACTGTCAAGTACTCCATTTTCAGAAAGGTTTGATTCAAAACAGCTTGTGTGCCTCCTGGAGTCTTGTGATCCCTACTGAAGAAAGCCAAGCTAAATCATTTCATCGTGAACTTACAAGTGATTTACAAAGAAATGCAACTAAATCATATTCTTATCAAGGTACTTGATGTTACAACTACAGCTTCCCTTACTGCGTTTATTTTAACTAGTCTTGCTCATGCCTGTACAATGAAGTATTTCAAGTTTTATGTAATACACTCATACCTATACGACAATAATGTATTGTAGCTACTCCTGTGGTCTTCTGAAGTAAACCAGATTGCTTATCTCTTATAAACAAAACATGGCACAGAGAAAGATTACTGTCTAAAATGTTGCTAGTTAGTGCCTAAAGCAAAGTAACCACAAAAATATTTTTTTGGGGGGAAAAAAAAAAAAAGACTACATGAAATACACAACAGATGAACACATCTTTTAAACCCAGGAAGTGGCACCAATTTATTTGGTTTCCATGAAAACAACGTCAGTAATCTAAATATGATTTGTTGAGATCTTAGCATAGCCAAATGGCTTTTTAGCTGTTCTAGGGGAACACAGACACTACATTTTTTCCGAGAGCAATCACTTAAAAAAAGGGGGGGGGTTTAAAGAAAGAAACATACAATTTATCAAACCATCTACGTTTGGCTTCAAGTTCAGTGGAACATACTGAAATGACAAGACTTAAGTATCTGAAA